AAAGGATGAACATAATTCATTCATTCAGTTTCAAGAATCTGCTGATATGGAAAGTTCATATGAAATTGAAGTTGAAACAAATGAACAAAATTCATTTGTTTATCATCAAAAATCAGCCAAAATGGGTAATAAAATCACAAATTTATGCTGTATAAAACAAAATAAAGTTTACTCATCCTGAAAAATTTATTTAGAAAATGAAACTGTAGCAGATGAACAGAGAGCATTTATTCATTTTCAAAAATCAGCAGAAATGGAAGATTCCAGTGGAATTGGAGTTGAAATGAATGAACTAAATGCATTCATTAATTATCAAAAATTAGCCGGAATAGATGATTCCAGAGAAAGGTTCGTAGAACTGTTGACATGATTTATTTTGATTTTAACTAATGTAGTTCTTTTTAGAAACATTGAAGAAACGTTTCAAATGATCAAGGGTTGGGCGTTTCTAGCAAATGCTAAATTTGGCAAAAAGGGCGGGGGAAAAAGAATCAGGACTGAGGTTGTAAATATTTTAAAGCAACTTTTTTTGAACAGAAATTTAAACCCCAAGAACAAAATGACGGCCAAGGAGATGCGTAAAGAACTGTTAAGGTTTGTGCGTGCTGGAGAAATTGAAGAGGATCATGTACCTCAACTAAACACAATCCAAAGTTGGATTGCCTGATATGCAAAGGAGTTTAATCGAGAAGGAACAGCCATTGTCCTCAAAACCTTTAAAGAAATGGGCTCTTCCTCATTAGTAAGTATTTATGTTTCATCTCATTCTAAACATCAAATTTGACAACTTAATTTTATATCAAAATAGAGTTGAAAAGAATGAATATAAGGCTCTCATTTATTATCAGAAATATATTTACATATAAGTTGGCTATTGCAAAAGATGAATTGATTGCATTTATTGGTTATCAAATATTGTTAAAATGGGACATGTAAATGGGAATATAAATACTGTATAAATAAATAGGAATTAAACAGAGTACAAATTTTAAATCAAATAAATTGAAGTTTCAAGATTCTCGATTATAAATAAACATTTTATTTAGACTATTTGATATAATATACAAATTCTTCTTAAATGCAAGTGCTATATATACTATCCATTAACACATGCTTTGTTTTAAATCAAAGCTATACTTTAATGAAAAGATCGGGTTTAAAAAAAATTTTTGCTGATATAGCTTATATCGAAATATCAGGCTGATTTTAATTATAATAAAAATTCTTTATTATACCAATTCTTAATTGTAATTTATAATTCCTGAAGAAACTAACTGCAGTATAAAGCACAATTAGTAGAAGTAACTACATAAATAAATCCATCTGGTATTCAAAAATTCTTTGATATTAAAATACCATAACGCACCTTAGTACATGCTTCGATATAATTTTACAAAATGAGTGTTGCCAAGAGAAAACCTGTCATCGGGCTTTCAATTTTATTTTGTACCAGAAATAATCTATCTAATTTATTAGGTATTGTGTCCAATACAAATATAATTGAAAGCACAATGACAGGTCTCCTTTTGGCGGCACTCAAATAAGTCTTGCAAAATATACAAAACCCAATTAGAAATCATCTTTACACCACTATCACAATGTAAAGTGAATTGGTAATGGTCTAAAATAGATCAATTTCTAGAAAATACCATATACCTTTGAGGTTAACCAAAAAAAATGGTTTTAGTAGGCCAAATTGAGACAGAAGTTGGTTGTAATACTTGCAAAGATAATAGTTGTTTTTCTACTAAGGCTGTATATATGAATGTAAGTTTTGAGTTAATCTAATCAGTTCTGACAATTTTTGTTACATTAGGGCTTCAAAGTTACTAAATATACATTTTTACCTCTTTTCTAAATAATTTATTCGGTCTTATGAAATGAACAAGCAAAAGTTGAAATCGAAATTACTAAAGATTTTGACTAATTTTAGCCCGAATGTGCGTGTCTTACTGAGTAAAATTTTTAAGTCATGCGACAAAAAGAAAATTTATTTAGCTTGCTGATTCTACTGGTTATGTTCTATGAAATTTGAAGATTAAATTTTGTTTTATTCAGATATAGCATAGATTTATTATAAGATAAAAACTGCGTATTAGGAGTTTATTATGATTGATCGCCGCCGTATTACTATATGAAAATTTTACCCTTTATTTACGATTTACCAATTAAATATTAATTGTCACGTCATGTGATGTTAGTATTATGGCCTGTCAAGATTTTGGATGTTGGGATTTCTTACTAGACCCGTATAGTCTAATTAGAATTTTTTTTTTTTTTTAATAACAATGTAAAAATTATTAGAAGATTATGTTATATGCGTATATTGTAAAAGTTCTTTTAAATATGATGGTGGTAAAACAGAGACTAGTACCTTGATTTGATATTTAAAAAATACAAAATGCAGTAAACATATTCAAACCAAATCACAATAAAAATTGCAACTTTCTTCTTCTGGTGTCGTCGTTTACAAATTCTCTCAAGAGAGAAGCCGCCAAGATTTAGCAGAAATGATTATCATGCATAGGTATCCATTTCATATAGTTGAACATGAGAGATTTTTGAAATTTGTTAATAATTTGCAACTACAGTTTAAAGTAATAGGTGAAAAGACAATACGTGAAAATTGTATGAAGCACATTGCAAATCTTGAAGCAAAGATATATATAATAGTACAAGAAGCTCCCAGAAATTTAAGTTTTACAACAGATCTTTGGACATCAAACCAGAATCTTGAATATATAGTCATTACTTGTACAGTATATTTTACTTATTAGCATATGGCCATTCAAAGTTGAATAATTGATTAACGTCATCCCCTCTTAAAGCCCCTAGCTGTCCTACAAAATTTTTTTTCACCTCTGTAATTTTGACCAATCGAGTAAAAATTGAAACGGACTATCTTTTTACAAAAAAACAGGAATAGCTCTAAATTTTTTTAGGAAACTATCTTCTGCAGCCTAATTAAAAATGTTCTTCGTAAAATTCTACTAATAGTTGTTATATTTTTCTAACTATAACCCTAAATATAACGCGGTTTTCTTAGATTTAATTTTACGCACAAATTTTTACTTATAAAATAAAACAAATTTGTTTTGACACACCTGATCTTAAATTTCGACTGGTCAAAATTATAGGGGGTGGAAAATATTTTGTAGAATAGCTACCTAAAATATCTCCTTTCGGGTATCTGCCCTCCTTCCAAAATTAAACAAGCCAATCCCAACACAATATAAATATCAATTAATCAAGTGATTGGGGTTAACCAATGAGATTTATTAGATATTCTGGGGGTATATACGTTTGTTTAAATTTCTCCTTCCTCCCCTTATGCCTAAGTCCAAAATATTGACGTTAACCAACTAATTAATTAGAAACGGCCTATGTTTATTGTTTTACGTAGTATTTAATTGCATTATTTCTACTAGGTCATTTTATTGATGAGAATTAGCACATCTGAAAACTAATTTTGTCATTTAAATTAGTTCTTGCACCACATACTGGAACTGCTATCAGCAGTATGTTTCTTAAATGCCTTGACAATTGGAATGTTACTTCTAGGGTAGGTACTAGGGTTTTAACCCAATTTTATAACAATGCTTATAAAAGTAAATTCAAATGAATATTAGTGCGATAGTTCGCTAACTTGGGTCTAATGAAATTACATAACAAAAATTTATATAAGACCTGAATATTATATAATAACAGTTTTGTATTGCAGAAAATTTTTTTTCAAATATTTATATAATTCATACCTATAGCATACTATTAGAAATTTGAATAAAATTTATAATTAGGCCATTTGAAGTTAATTTTTCGGTTAACATCACCCTCCTCCTCAGCTGAAGTCTCCTTCAGAAAAATGAACAGCAAATCAAAACGCTGGATGACTCTCTCCAGTCACCTGATTTACATAAATCAATGAATGCTTACCTTTGTTCATTTTTATATATTCATTTCATATATTTGTTTCATTTTACTCCCTCCCCCCTCTCGAAAGTCCTGGCAAAGTGATGTTAACCGAAGAATCAACTTCAAACAGCCTTAATAAAGATTTGTATTTTGCACCACAGCATTTAATGTGCTATAATCTTTAATAATTTAACATTTTTTTACTCATGTATATTTTAAACATTTATTATTTTATAGATATTGGCAATTACAATGGATAATGTAACAAATAATGATGTGGCAATCACTAATATAAGACATAAGTTAAGAAAACAAAACATGCTCATTGCGAATGGAAATTTGCTGCATCAGCATTATTGTGTATACATATTAAACCTTATAGTCACTGATAGACTTAAAATGATAAAGAATACTGTGGATATGGTAAGTAAAATGAATATTTGATATAGTCAGAAGTCCTAAGTGCGACTTATAGAACTAAACTTTTGCTAATGAATATTATCATGGTTATTTTAATAACTGAGGTCACTAAGTGGACCTTTTTCAAATAGTAAGCATGAACAGTTATACTTCATATGTATAGAGATAAGTGTATTCGTTATTCATTCACTTGATTTATTAAGAGAAAAGACATTAACTATTTTTATTATTTTTTACTTTGCTTATTTATGTATTCATATTTTGGTTACTTATTATTGCATCATAAATTTATTATACAATTTTTTGCTCTTAAATTAATCATATACTCTTATATAATTTTTCATGTATGCTTATTTTCTAACTTTGGCATACTATATCAGAAAATTTTGAAGCCTGATTATAATTGGTTGTAAACAATTAATTGATTATAATCGATTGGTTTTAAGCGATTATAATCGATGGTGGTGCTGATAATCGATTCATATCCAAATCGATAATAATGATAATCGATATAAATCTATCTATATAAGTTGATTATAATCGATGGCTTTCTATATATATCAATTATAATCGATAAAAACCCAATCGATTTTAATTGATGATAGTGATGAGAATTATTTAAAATCCTTAGATTTTAATCGATAATAATCTAATTTTAAATTTTTCTGATGTATCTTGTAATACTGACTATTGCGCCTTTAATCTCATACTATTGCACGTTAGTCACATGCATCATATATAAGCGACAGTTCATTTACTTCGAACTTTTCCAAATCAAAGTCAAGTAATTAATAGGTTTTTTTTTACTTTTTTTTTTTTTAATTACTTTTATACTAATATGCCTTTAATTTAAAAATTTTGTGTTGAATGGTATAATTCGAATACTACTTAAATGACTTTATAGACATGCATATTTGCTAAGTCATGTAATAGTGTTGAACAGCAGCTTAAATAACAGTTTGAGTGGCATTCAAATTATATCATTCAACATATTAAGATTTCAATTTTTATCAGTATTATAGAACAATAAGAAAACTGCATTTATGAGAAGCAAAAGTATATTTGGGTTAGAATTACGATTATATTCAGAATGTTCTTGCATTTAAAGAAATTGCATTTAAGGATGTCTTACCATATTTTTTAAAAGAATTTTACCATAATATAGTCAATTCTCTCTAAACTAAATTAGTAATCACACATGCACTAGTTAATAAAAAATATACAGTCAGCTCTGGATATAACAAACTCTGGATATAATGAACCTGAAAACTTGAAATTTCATAATAGTTTGGTATAAGAAGTTGCATGTGTTCTTAAGAAAACATAGTAATTTTG